AGGAATGCTCCAGAGAGAATTGGTACAATTTTGCTTTGAGATAAGTGAGGCAGGAAGAGGAGTTACACTGCTCTGGTCGGATGCACAATGAGCCTTTTAATGGACTGTGCTGTAGCAATTTGTTTTTTTCTTTTTTCCTTTAATGCAGTTGCTAAGGGATTTTTAATTGTTCCCTTTCAGACTCTGTTGAAATTATCCCTGGGTCAGCTTCTAGTGCCTCCTCTATAAGCACGACCTCCCTCGATACCTTGTACACTGCTTCTTCACCGCCCCCCCCACCAGCCCCCCCCAGCCCCGCCAACCCCCCCCCCCCTGTCCCGAGCCGGAGCGTCCACACCACCATAACGCGCAATTTGGACGCCGGCTCGATGACCCACTCCCGCTACGGGACTTCCCCAAAGGATGGGTCCAGCAAATCTCCCCAGGCCAAGAGGTCTGCCCCGGCAACGCCGGCAGAAGAAGGGACCCAGAGGTCCCATGCTGTGGATGGGGAGAAGAGTTCTCAGGTGAAGAAAGCTGCTCCAGCCCCCCCTGCAAGCCTGGATGCCTTCAGCTCCCTCTGCCTGGAGGATAAGAAGGCGGCTGCGGTGGAGCCAGTGCCACCAGAACCCAGCGGTCTGGCAGCGTCTGTCCCCAAGACAATAGGTGCTGAACTGATCGAGCTGGTGCGCAGGAACACCCACCTCAGCTACGAGCTGTCCCGCGTGGCCATCGGCGTGGTCATCGGCCACATCCAGACCTCCATTCCAGCAACCAGCAGCATCATGGAGCAGATTCTCATCTCCGTGGGGGAGAGGAAGGTAATGGGGAACCACCTCCTAGGATTGGGCTGAAGGTCTTATGAGCTCTGTGAGATCTCCAGACCTTTGGGATGAGAAGCACAGTGAGATCCTAAAGGAAAGGGGAGAGGTGCTGGATGGGGGTAGATGTCTAGGCCAGGGGGCCAAGGGTTTAAACCAGGTCCCAGTACCAGCGGCAGGGAAGTAGGAAAGGTGTGAGCTGCAGATATACGGCATAACCTTGAGTTTGGAGCTGGTGTGAGAGGTGAAACCAGCTGAGAGGGCCCCTGATGCTGGGAAGCACTGGGAGGCTGTGGGGGGGGGGGGCGGGCTCCGGTGATTTGGGGAGAGGGTACTGAGGTGGACAGCAGTTAATTGAGTAACATGAGCAATCAGGTGGGAGGCAACAACCTTCCAGGTCCCAGGACAGTGTTGGTGACAAAGGAGTTGTGAGAATGGCTGCGTCAGTACTTGAGACACGCTAAGAAAGGTCTGACATGAGTTGTTGACGACTGATTGTGGAGGCTCACAGAGAACTACTGTGGCAGCATAAAATCAGAGAAAGAAATGAATAGTGACTTTTTAACAGGTGTTTTCTGTTATGAATGTGACGAATAGAAGCTGAGGAAAGCGGCGCCTTTGCAATAAGTACTTCTGTAGAGAAACGTTTTACAAAATGATGCATTGTATGAACTTACTTTCTTCTGCGGTGCTGCATGTTCTCTGTGTAAGTTGCTTATGCACACTCTAAGTCTGTACGGGCTCCTGTCACTTTTGACAACAGAGCACCCAAAACTTATATGACTGACCTCGTCTTCTATCAAAGTGATGAAAACTAGTTTTCTGTAGATATGAACCTCTGCTATCCACGACACGTGCCTCAGCCTTGCTTTCTTTAAAGAAAAAAAGAGTAGTTTTTCAGCCTCTGGAGGAAAAGCGTTATCTCAAGCTTGTTCTAAAGAAACCTTATACTAAAACGATAATATATTCCTCTTCCCTCCACTGCAGGCGTGCAAGGAGGAAAATAAAAGGACGCTTCTTGCAGCAGCCACTGAGATGGCAAAATGCACCTGGGCAGCCCTCCGCTTCGGCTGGAGGGATAATAAATTTCATCTCCCGCTTGCCAAATACAGCCCCAAGGAGTGCATTTCCTATAAACATCTACGGTTGGAGCTCCATTGCTAGTGGCAAGATTATAATGAACTGTTCAGAGGCATCTGAATTTGGAAAGCTAATGGCATTCAAATTTTCGATCAAATCATAATCTGGTTAACTGTCTGCGCTGAATAGAGAGTCCTATAAGCAACCATCAAGTCTCTGTTTGTGTCTGTAACCCAACAGTTAATTGCTTCCTACTTCAGTAACAATAACCGTGTCAATGTGCGATCTAGATTCAGCAAAAAAATTTAGCTGTTGCAAGAAAACTTTGTGGCTCTGACTCTCACACTGAGTTCAGTTTTCTGTTATTTGGATCTCAGATGAGATTTGAATATTATTTTCATGTTGAATACCTGTTCTCAGGATCCAATGAGCTTAATTCCACAGAAGTCATTTAGTGGCAGTTTTCTGCAGAGGGGATTTGAAAACCTCGATTTCATGGCTGTTGCTGCAGACCAGCCTGAAAAAGAGGGGAAGAAATTCTGATGCTGGTGCAGGGATGAGTGTGAATCTACTCATAACCGCTGCAGTACCTGTCATCCATAACAGAACTTAAAAATGTCTGGTACTGTACGGAGGCATAGCAGAAGGTCCTGTCCCATCTTGTAATGCTTCCTTGTACCTCTGTTGAGCAGCACTGCTTTCAGAGGAGCCTGGCTTGTGCAGAGCTCAGGTGTGAAGGTTTTTGTGTGGGCTTTTCCTCGGTGTCCCATGCAGAGGAGGTAGCTCTGCTGATACGTGCAGGCCTGGTCCCAGAAGAGGTCATTCACCTGGTGCAGAAGACCAGCTCTAAGGGCTGGAAGGGCAGTCTCTCAGACGTAACTAAAGATAGTATAGATGCTGCCTGGCTTTCAAGCATCTAGAGAATCAGCCGGATTAGTATGTATTGGTGATCTGTGATTGCCCTCAGCTCTGCTGAATTATCTCCCATCTGAGTGGTATTGTAGACATCTTGTGTAGGGGAGGTCAATGTGAGGATTTAATAAATGGAGTGTGAGGCAAGCAAAATTGCCTAATACACAAGCTACCTACACCTTGAGAGGGAGTGCTGAGAAATAATTTACCTGCTTTTTATTCAATTAGCATTGCTGTGTTGCACTTGTGACTCAGACTCGTCTCTTATTGCCTTAAATTTAAGCTTGGAAACTACTGACAAAGGTGTGTGATTCAGTTCAGTCTTCTAGATCAGCCCAGGCTGCTGGGTGGAGTCAAACAATTCTTGGGAGGTGATGTATTTCTGGAGGGGGTTTTCCTTGTAGCACTGGGCTGTGACCTGCTCCGAGCTGCCCATCACCAGTGCCTGTTGTCCCCAGCGAGCCCTGACAAACCTCACAGATAATGTGGCCGAGCTCCCTCTCCTTCCCCTGAAGGAACCCATGTGGGCTGCCTCTCACTTGCAGTTCCCGTTCATTCATTGATTCAGCTTTGCTTGAAGGAGACTTACTTTTGACCAGACACAGCTGCTGCTCTGGGGCTCAGCTTTTACCTGCAGGAGCTTTGTGCCTCTGCTCGCCTGGGACAATGGGAAGGTCAGGGCGAGTGCTTTGAAGGCTGAGTCCTTCAGCTGAGCTGTTAGCTGCCCAGGTAGGGCTCCTCCTTACTGAAATACCGTAACAAAAGTGCATCTGGAGGGTGGGAGGAATGCATTAGTGCTTAGGCAAGTCCTTTTCTCATTAATTGCTAGAACAGCATTTACAAAGGGCTGTGCTGGAGTCTTTGCCTGCAGACATCTCAGTTCAGCTGTAGATGGGCCAGAGAGAGGTGAGATGCTGCTCAGTGCGTCTGCAGAGCGCGCATCCCCTGCAGGGACACCTGAAGAGCAAAGGCTGCAGAGACCTGGCTGCAGCATAGCTAACGTGCTGGCTGAAAGCCAAGGAAACTGCTGTGTCTACCCAAGGCACTGGTGACCCAGCATGCCTGATGGTGAGGAGGGGGTGAGGAAGAAATGGATGGAAGAGCTTGTCAGGACGGCAGCTGGGTTTGTGCAGCAGAGATGACCACCTCTGAGCAGTGTGGGTGTGACAAGGTTCCCAAAATGGTTTTGGGTTGCTCAAGAGGAAGAAAATACCTGCAACAGTTTGTTCTGCTGGGCTAGGGGGAGGGAACTGTTTGAAGCAGCAAGATAATTCAGAGTGGCGTTGTTAGAAACACCGAAACCTCCTCCTGCTTACAGGCTCTGCAGCAGATTCCTGGAATTGACCATATGACGAAGCCGTAGATGGTAATAGCTGCCAAGATGTTTAATAAGCAGAGACCTGACCCCAGTGGTGCTGAGAGCACATTGAGCCTGCATGTGGTGCAGTTACACCAGTCGGATTGAAGAGCTTGTTAATGGATTGATCTCATCCAAGTCCATTAGGAGCTTGATGCTCAGTGGAGTCGTAAAGGCTGCACATGAAGGATTGGAGGAAGCAGATTAGTGATAAGAGGCTGAAAAGAGCGATCATTAAAACGAGTACTCATTAAAACGCTCATCCAAAAAGGATTCTCAGCAGTGGACGGAGGTAGGACCAGTGAGGATGATGCGAGTAGGGTACATCAATGCTGAACCCTCTCCCAAGCAGCCGGGCTGCACAGGGATGGGCAGGTGACACTGCAGTGTAGTAGGTCCTCCTGAAGAGAGGAAGAGATGGCAAGACCAAGCGATTCCCTTAACTAACGTGTTTGCTGCTGTGATAAGTTGCCATTCAGTGGAAGAGTCTCTTATATTTGCACTCAGCTCCTGAAAGCTGCTGTCCTTTCTCACATCAGATTGCCCAGTTTTCTGCCAGGGCACCCACAGCTTCCTGAAATTTTAAGAGCACTCAGAGGCTTGTGTTAAACCAGCACACTCCTCCCTTTGTTACTCACTGGACAAAAATTATATCATGAACAGCAACAAGAAGAATGCTTTTTTATTGTATAATTGAAGAACTGAATTGAAGTCCCATTTAGTTCACACCCCGAATACCCTAAATCAAATTACTAACATTACTGTCTCAAAGCAGGTGAGATGTTACTGTTAAACCTGGAGTGGTTTTCCTAGAAGGGCTGGAGAGTCGAAGGTGTGCAGGAAGGCTGCTGCTCCTGCGCCTGGCACAGGTGTACGTGCAGCAAGATTTGCTGAGTTAGTCTGCATCATAGCTACAAGCTTCAGAGCTGCTGTGAGTGGTGGTTGAGCTCTGCTTTTTGGGAGAATGCAGAACCAAAGCAGCTGAAGATAGATTGGTTCCAGTCCTTGCTGCAGGAGATGGCAGACCTAGTACTGAGCAGTTGGCATGTAGAGTGCCATGCAAGCATTTCCTCCCGAGTCAAGGACTAGAGGAGGATCTGTCCCTTTCAGGGAGGGGGCAGTGATGGGAACTTCTCCCTCCTGGAGGCAGTTGTGCAGCAAGGTCGTTGGTGTCTGGGAACACATCGTTTGAGTGGGGGTGAGCCTCGAGCTGTGCTCAGCCACTGCCTGCCAGCTGTCTTGGCCTGTGCCAGGCTGCTTTGGCTTTCCCCATTTTCAGGATGATTTTCAGGGTCTGCAGTGTGACCTCTGAAGAGCTGCTGAACGCCTGCCTGATGCATCACCACACCCAGAAGGAAACCAGTGTTTTGCTTGTTTTGTGGGGAGGTAATAAGTACCTTTGGGGTCCCTGCAACTGTGTTGCCTCATGCTCTTGGCACACTGGACTGCTTTTGTGAGAGAGGTGATGTGTTTGGCTGCCCTGTGGGAAGCGCAAATGAGGGTTTAGCTGGTACTGAGCGTAGTACCCTGGCCAAGCATTTCGAGTTTTCCTTTGTTAAAGGAAATACTCAGGGGACTGTGGTCATCATTCAGGAGGCTGTTGAAATATTCGGGGGGCTGTGGTCATCTGTGTTGGCTTCTTGCCTTAAATTCCTCCCTCACAGGAAATGAGCATTGCCCTTACCCAGCGTTTGCCCTCCCCAGGACAGGTGGGCAGGCAGTGTTGAGCTGCAAATACCCTCCGGTTTGCTGCAAAGGGAAGTGGGGATGTTTGTGGTGGGTGGGTGTGCTAAGAGGTTAAAATTATGTGATCTAGGAGAGACTCGGATACAAATTCCTGTGGTTTTGGGAATGTTAGTTTGCCTGGATCAGCCTTAGGTTACTAAAAGCAGTAAGGAAAAAGAAGGGATGTAGCTTTGTTGGAGTGAGGTTTCTTGGGTTTTTCAACATCCTCAGAAGAAAGCTAAGGCTCTAGCAGGATGGCAGCAACTTGGATTTGAAGACTTTCTGACCATGCACCAGTTCTGGCACCTATTCTGATTCATTCACAGCGTTAGCTGTGCAAGGAAATGAGGCCATCCGAGGCCCCAAAAGTATGAGAGCTGAAATAACACGTCTTAAACTTGTTGTCCTTTTGCTGCCAGCTCTTGACTGAATGAGGTCAACTGTCAGTCCCGAGACAAAGATTAGAGGAAACAGACACCCAAACAACAGCTAGCTGTCAGGATCCCGCTAACCAGTGGTTTTGCTATCGTGCAGAATCTGAGTGCAGGACTGCCCTCGGGACAGATCTGCCACGATGAGCAGCGGCTGGAGGTGATCTTCGCAGATCTGGCCAGGCACAAGGACGATGCTCAGCAGCGCAGCTGGGCGCTCTACGAGGATGAGAATGTTATCTGCTGCTACCTGGAGGAGCTGCTTCGCATCCTGGTGAGTAAGTTTCTCTCTTTATAGGCAGAGCAGACAGTCACAGCGAAGTTCCTTTTTTTCTGATCTCCTTCACCCCTGCATTGCCATTGGATCTGCTGTTTTGGAGGGCATAGGTTTTCTGTGTGTCTCTTACTGTCAATGTGAAGCCCTGCCCTCCTGTGAGGGATCTGCAGCGCTCCTGACCTGCCTTCTGCTCCACCTTACAAAGCTGTTCTGCAAAAAGTTACAGAACTGGTCTTCATGGTAACTGTGGTTTTGCCTGTCACAGAATATAAGCACTGACTTCCAAACCCCAAAACCTAGAAGTTTGTCGTGAGTGTTGTTGCACTTCTAGGCCCATTTAAAATGTCCTCTGTGGTTGGGAAGTACCTGTGGTGTGAAGCCAATTAATTGTGAAGAAATTATTTGGTTATCTTGAACATGACCTTCACAGCTATTTTCATGAGCAAGTATAAAGTATCTCACCACATCTGTGCCTACGGGCTTGTATATGTCCCAGAGCTGTCACTAGCAGGTACAAGCCCACCTGTGTACGAGGAACTAGATGATACCACTCGGCGCAATGACACAGTCTGTGTTATGGGTGCTGGCCTGGGCTTTGCTCTGGCACCTGTTTTGTATCCCTCTTCAGTTCTGACATAGGCAGAACAGATATTTTTTGATGTAATAAATGCTAGCGTCTTTGTCACTCAACATAGGGCCTGTGCCACGTCACTGTGGGCTTGCGGGGTGAGGCAGAGGGGGATTTTGTGCAACCATTTTCTCATAATTTAGAGGTGGCAGATGTCTAATACTTCTCGGAATGGGCACAGTACTGGAGCTGAGTTTTTTAGATGTTTTTAGCTCAACACATGCTGTATGGCAGAGGCATTTCTCAAGAATTCACTTATCAGAATCTGCAGGGTGGCAGTTCTTGAGCTCTCTTTGTGCCTTGCCTTCACTTTCTTTGTACGACGGTTGGGCTGGGGCTACTGACACCTGAAAGCAGCTGGCCCTCCTTGAGGTCCCTGCAGCAGGCACCTTGCTGCTTTGATGTGCCACTGGGCTGACCTGTTCATTCTTGTTTCCAGACAGATGCAGACCCAGAAGTTTGCAAGAAAATGTGCAAGAAAAATGAGTTTGAGTCCGTCCTGTCCCTTGTGGCATATTATCAGATGGTAAGGTGGCAGAATGCATTGAATCTCTCCTTTTGAGATTTCCCTGAAGGTGCAAAAGAGCAGAGTTGCTACGATGAATGTATGTAAGACGTTCCCACTTGGACAGGGCATTTCCTGTGAACTGAGTGGAGTTGCAGCACATCCCGTTTGCGTGCTGGCTAACATCAGTGCTATGCATGCTCTGGTGCAGGGGCTGGACTAGGCAATCTCCTGAGGTCCCTTCCAACCCCTAACATTTTTGGATTCTGTGAAGAGCAGAGGATGCTATAGGCCTCAAAGCGGTAGCTAGCACTGTGAAGCGTAAAACTCGCTGCTTTTATTGGCTCCATCAAGGGACAGAATTGACATCACTAATATCTAGAGGAAGGATTTCCAAAAATTCCTTGGGAAAGCTGACAGGCTGTGACTGCTCCTCTTTTAATTGATGCACTCCTGTGCATTAGTAAATAGCTTTGCTTAAGGAAGTGGATTGTGAGTAGAAGCCTTGGGAGTGAGGAAGGAAATCAGTATTCAGAGGCAGAAATGGAAGTTTTGCCTTCAATGCCTTTGCAGTGTTGCTTTGCCCCCTCTCCTTCCTGGAACGTGTTGCTGTAGGACTCTGTGGAGGTTGGAAAGTTGTCCCCATCTCATCACTAAGTCCCCAGCTACAGCACATCAAGCCTTGTGGCATTTAGCTTTCATCTGGCACTTCTGTATCTCAACCCAGAGCTCAGTATTAGGGGGCTGCAGTGTCTGAGAGCAGGGGGAGGCAGGCTGGGCATAATGGAGCCTGCTGGCTTTTGCTGCCTGCCCTTCTCTGACCAGGAGTTCAAGGAAGCCTGACCAGGTGGAGAGCAGTAGGGTCTCCTGTCCTGGCTGCTGTCATGCCCAGTGCCAGAGCTTGGCTCCCTTCTGTTCTCTGAACCCTGGAGTTGTTGGCTGAGACTGGAGCATGAAGGCTACCCTAGCATCACAGGTCTTGCATGGGAGCTGCAGGTTTAGCATCATCTTTGCTGGAGTCCTGCCATGTCCCAAAACTTTCTGGTTATATCTTCTGCTCCCGGTACAAACCCAGCAGCTTCACAATGGAGGAGCTGCTCCCATCCTGTTCATTAACCATCACATGCTGAAGAGGATTTGCAGGTATGGAGAAACATCCTTCAGACCAGCATTTGCAAAACCTTGGTGTGCTCAGAGAATCCTGGCTACACAGCAAATTAAATATCTTTTTGCTGGGGACTGGTGCAGATTGTTGATTTGTATCCTATTTAGTGGATCAAGTAGGCCATTTGAGATCTGAGCTCTGGCTGCCACATGCTCTCTGACTGCATGTGCCAACAACCTGTAGCCAGCCCAGTCGTGAATGTCATCATAAAATCACTCCGGTGCTGTTGTTAAAAGCTAGTAGAGCTTCTGGGTTTACTGAGTTCACCCCTGGGTCAGTCTGTGGCTTCCGACAGCAGAAACTTCTAGCCAGTTATATCTCTGCCTTAGAGTAAGCCCTCATCTGGGATGTTTTTTCATCTAATAAATTGTTTTTTCAGGAACACAGGGTGCCATTACGGCTACTGCTGTTGAAGTGCTTTGGAGCCATGTGCAACTTGGATGCTGCAGTCATCTCGACACTGGTAAACTCTGTGCTGCCGATGGAGCTGGCCCGAGACATGCAGACTCACACACAAGGTGAGCCAGAGCTGCTGTACCCAGGTCCCCAAGAGCTGCTCAGGACAAGGCAAAGCACTGGTGGTGTGGTGTTGAGATCATTATGCCTGTGCTGACTGTATGTTCTCTTTGTGCCACTGCTGCTTATCAATTCTGTGCAGTGAACTGATCTTGATGTTTTATCTGGTTGTGCCTGAGAAGTTGCTTCTTAGGCTGAGGTTTTACTCCCCAGGAAGCAAGTAATAGTTACGTGACTATGACTGTGCTTCTGGGGCAATTTTATGCTGCCAAAAATAAACTTCATTGTGCACCCATCACCAGTTCATCAAAATTGTCTCCAGTTAAATGTCTTCTGCACCATGCCCAAACAGGCTTCAGTCTCCTGCTCTGTTTCTGGAGCTGCCTTCATGCAGGCAGGGTGGGGCTGGTTGCCCGTGTTACTCCTGTGCTGGTCCAGCATTGCTGTCCAGGGCATTTTAGCAGGGGCTGCGTCATCCCAGCGAGCTCAGCTAACTCAGCCTCTTGATATACCTCCCGTGTGTAACAAATGCCTCCTGTGAGAAAGGTATGTTTTGCTTTCAGCTAAGGGTATCTGAGTGCTCAGGAAGGAGGAGCTCAGTGGAGCTGGTTATCAGGGCTTATTTGGACAGACAGCAGTCTCCAACCGCACACAAAGATTTAGACAGCTGGGTAATTGGACATAAGAGGTTCTGCAGGTGACTGAGACATTTGGAAATGACTTTTCCTATTAAATAGAAGAACGTTCAAGTCTAGGTTGGATGGGGCTTTGAACAACGTGGTCTGGTGGAAAGCGTCCCTGCCCACGGCAGGGGGGTTGGAACTAGATGATTTTTAAGGTCACTTCTGACCCCAGACCATTCTGTGATTCTGTAATACGATGGAGCATTGAGCTCTGACCCCAGGTAACTTCTGCATGCCTTTGCTGACCTCCAGGTAGCACTTCTGGCTGAAGCAGGCCTATCTCCCTGCAAGCATTAGCTCTGCTTTGGGCACCTAAAAAGCATTGCAGAGCAAGTGGGTAAAAAGTGGCTCAGCAAAGTCCTCTGAACTGCCAGCCTGCAGCTTTGCAGCATCTGTTCTGTCCCTAGCTTCACTGTAAGGTGAGGATTATTTCCTCCCCCTTCTTGCTGTAACATGTAGGCAGTAGTACAGTTGAAGGGTGAAAAGCTGCTCTTCCTTTGCTCACAGGCTACTTTGATTACAGGAGCCTTCCAAATCACTGTCCTCATCATGTCCTGCCTTCCCCATGCTAAGCTCACGGCAGACGCGTGCACAAGTGTCACCTCTGCGGCATCCAGTCCTCTTGGCCTTCACAGCAGGGCTGCAGAGAAGTAACCATCCTTGACCCAAGCATGTCTGTCCTTCAGAGGACAGTTCCCTCCTACCATTCTGGTGCTTTTACTGCTCCATGTCCTGCCAGCAGATAGCATTACCTTCTGTGAAGGCACAACCTTGAATCCTAGCGTGACCTGAGCTTATTTTGGTACTAAAAACTGGGGAATAGCAGCTGATCCGTGACATGCTGTGGAATAGCTAATCCCTTCTCCACATGGCAGGGGCCAGAGCAATTGGTGCCAGCACTAAACAACTGGGGAGTGTCGAACTGGCTGCAGCAGTTCTGTGGGATCCCTCCTGGCTTGTTACTGAAGAGCAGCCAAGGCAGAATCCCTGTGCGTGGATGCTGGGTGCCTTTGATGAGAAGGCACTTTACCCTGGGGCTGATGCAGGCGTGTTGGCTGCTGGCCAGTTCTTCTGCCAGATGCTTGGGTCTTATTGCTTCTGGACAGCCGCTTCCCTCTGCTGCGGCTGGCCTGCACATCTATCGGTGTTAGAAGAGCTTATAATAAGCCACAGTGAGGCAGAATTAGCCAGAACGATTCCAAAGAAAAAAGCCAGGGATAATCCAGTCTGTAATCATGACTTTCTCCCATGTTGCACCTCAGTGTGCATGCAAGTCAGCTGTCGGACTCTCTTCGCTTCAGTTGTAGACAGTTTTGTCTGCTCCAAGTGCCTGCATTTTGTGCTGCTCTGTTTAGAGGTTGGAAGCAAGGTCTTTGAAGGCCTCTGAGAAATACCTTTCATACATAATAGCAGCTTTCTTACCAGTACCTTGACAGGCTTTGGAAAGGCGGGCTGGGGAGCAAACAGCCACATCTCTCCTGCCCTTCGCTGTCACTTGAGTGATGCTTACAAGTGCGTTGTCAGCCGAGTCCATCTGCTTCAGGAGCGTTGTATTAATGGTATTTACTTTCTTGCAGCCACTGGTGCTGCTCTGGAAAGAAGAAAAAAACCCAAAAAACTAATTGTATGTTGACTGACAGTTACTCTGTTCTTCAGCATGGTGAGTCTTGGATGAGTCTTGCTGTAGCTAGGACGCTCCAAAAAGCTGTAGAGTCTGTGCTGAGTGAGTGCACCAAATAAATCTGGGTTTGCCTCAAGTTAGCTTTCTGACTGGTTTCAGCATCCTTTGATTCAGCATCCTTAGGCAAATATGACAAGATTTGCCACCTAGTACTGGAGTCTGCTGTCAACTGAGATAAATGGACATCAGTTCATGGCAGATGGTCCAAGGACGTGTAAAACTACCCTCCCGTCTCTAATTATTCTCTTCTTCCGTATTTGCTACAACCACATGTTTATCACTGGCTTCTCATTCTCAGATCATTATTTCATTGCTACTGATGTGATAAGAGAAAATGTTTCATTTATGAAAGCCTTATTAGGAACATGGGAGCAGCAGGTCCCTATGTCTACCTGCAGCAGTACCCTGCCTCTGATACCCAGCTCCTGAAGCCATGGAGGAAAGAATGAAGAAAACATGTTGTGAACAGTTTGTCGGATTCTTTTTTAGCTACAGTAAGCTTTGACATCACTGACACCTTATAGCTGAGAGCTTCTTCAAGTATGAATTATATTTAAGTCATTGAATATCCTCCCTCTTTGTTTACCGAGAGTAAACAGCAGTTTCCAGCTTTCCTTTGCTGCCACATAGTCTAGAGTGCTCTCCTACAAACTCTTAATCTTGTTAATGCTGTAGGATCTGTGGTTAAGCCCTAATTGATCTATTTTTATTTGAAGTATTTGCTATTTGAAAACTCAGGCGTCTTGTGGAGCTCTGACACAGTCTGCAAGTTCTTTGTTTATAGAGGCTTTCCTCACAGAGCTGGCTTTCCAGGGGCACGAGGCTGGAATGGTTCCCTAGCATTGTTCCCCTGCCTGTGCTAACAGTAAATCAGAGAGCTGCCAACTGTTGCAAGTCCTTTGGCCCAGTCCAGGAGGGTGCAGTGACAGTGAAAGCATCAGCCTGTGCAGTCAAAACCAAACTGCAGGGTGCAGGTGCCGAGTGGTGGATCAGTTTGTGTGTAGAGAACTGAAATGTCTTAAAGGGTTTGGAGGAGGTGCTGAAAGCAGCACTGTTGGGAGAAGATTCACACATTCAAGGGACTTTTTTTCTCCTCTAATGAGAAGCGGGTTTGGTCAGTGTTTTATAAATACACCCTAAGTTTCTTTTTAACGAGTGTCCCTGGTCTCTTTCTGGCAGATTTAACTAACTTTATTGGGCTGGTATGTGCAGTAACCTACTTTACAAAACCAGTAGCCCTTTGCTGATCATCTCCAGACTCACCAAAGTGGATGAAGGCTACATTCGATGCACAGAACCTATTGCGTTGGTTTTGTTTCTTCCACAAATATCTACTGGCCTCTATCCATTAATTAAAATTCAGGAAAGACACCGGCTGTGGAGCATTCATGTATAGCTGCTGTCAGCGAAAATCGTGTTGGACTAGCAGGCTGTGGGACGTATTAATGCTGGAGACACGTGTGGCCTGGGAGGTGGGCAGATGCACAGCCTGAGTCACGAGCAGTGATCTGGTCTCCCCAGAGACCTTTTATACCTCCAGGCAGAGCCAAGGTAGTGAAAGTAGAGCAGTGCAGAGATGGTAACAAGCAGCATAGCCGTCCGGGGGTGGTGTTGGGTGGAACAGGCAGTATTTCAAGGTGGCCAGATGGATGCTTTTTCTGGGTTCAGTAATTGCATAACTGGGATGTGTCCTGGGACTAGGCAGGGGAGGTTTTTAATTATTCAGATCAACTTTGCTCAGATCCTTTTAAGTAGAGAGGGGAAAAAAAAATCAAGAGTTCTTGTGATTATTTTTAAATTGCTTTGGAAATGCATGGCACAGAAGGCGTGTGGTGTGCTGAAACAGGGAGAAAAACACCCTTTTAGCTCGGTAAATCAGGAATAAGGAGTAGTCTAATCAGTGTTAAATGTCCGTGTTAAATGTGTGACTTCCCAGCTGTAGCTGAGGAACAGTGTTTCACATCCTCAGAAGAACTAATGGTAGGGCCTTTATCTTGCAGATCATCAAAAGATGTGCTACTCTGCACTGGTGCTGGCCATGATGTTCTCCATGGGGGAGCCCCTGCCATATCATCACTATGGTAAGAGCAGGCTCTGTTTACGGCTTGGTAGGACAGCAGAGCTGATGGTGTGACATCTGGAGCGTGCTGGCAGGCACAGGGAAGGGACCTTTCCTGAGGGCCAAGGTGGGGACAGTTAGGGGAAAGGCCAGCAAGAACAGGGTCTGCTCTCTATTGATAGAGCTGAAACAGGTCAAGGTAACAGATTTCCAGAGAGCAGCAGCACAAATCTAGGTTAGAGCAGTGGAGGACTGATGCCATGCTGCGCAAGAGGTGGATTTGCTCATCACTGTTACTGAGCAGCGTTTTGTTTTACCTCTGCCCTGTGTGAAAGCGCGCACCGCTTACTTGCCTCGGTGACATTCTGTCTACTGATGAGGCTGAGATCCCGGATCGCTCCAGGAACACTCACTAAAGCTGTCAGCTGCGTGATGTGGCCTCTTCCTTCTAACAGGGTCTCCCTTCTAAGAGCACAGTGCAGCCCTGCATATTTCAAGCGGAGATGATTGAGGGTATTGCAATCAATAAGGAAGCGCAAATGGGCCCGATCTGCCTGTTTTATCCTCTGTACTTTCATTCCAACCTTTAGCCAGAAAACCCTTCCTGCCTGCTTTCTCCCCATGTTGTGCTCCCTGTATTTAGGAAACTCTGAGCTCAGTTTTCCTAGAAACATGGTAGAGATTTTTTATAAACATCTCCTCACATCTCATCACCTTAACACCTCAGTAAGCACATGAAAGATTTAAGCTGGTGCAGTAGAGACTGTGGACTGAGCCTCCACACCTCCTGCTTTTCTCTCCTTGTGTAACCCTGGCAATTGTTTCCTGCACGTGGACTTATCTGCATGAACTCCTGAGCTTTTCTAATACCTAAATTGAAAAATGGTTTATTACTAATGGTCTGGATGATTACTTTTTTTTTTTTAAATAGGTGGATTAAACCAATGGTGAAGAATACAAATCTCTTCCTACCTGAAGCTTTTATTGGCAGCAGTGATGCTGCAGCAACAGCTAGAGCAGGATGTGGTAGTTTATTTACTCCAAAAAATTACCAGTGGGTGACCACCTTTCAGCATTCCCCTGCCCCGTGGTTAGTTCTGAGCCACTTCTCTCACACAAAGACACTTCAGTGCTCTGTCTAGTCCGTTTGCAGGGTTGTTAGTTCCCCAAAGGCTGACATTGGCACTCTACTAATGTTTTTTTAGCATAAAAGCATGGAGAAAGGGGCTTGCATGGTCCCTTGTTGCTTGATTTACTTTCACTGTGCTGTAAATGTCCTCTTTCTCCTTGTGCAGAACATCTCAACTCTCAGTTTGTGCAGTTCCTTCTGGACGTGATTGAGGATGGGCTGCCCTCAGACACCACCGACCAGCTGCCTGACTTATTTGTCAACGTCCTTCTGGCCTTCAATCTCCACATTCCAGGTTGGTTTGGTGCTGCTCTGCCTTGGCAGGATTTCAATGATCTGCAGTGAGGGCGTGAAGAATGGGGAGGGAGAGTCTCACTGGGTCTTCACGTTGCTATGATAACCTCTCCAGCTCCCCTAGCCTCTGGCAATACACTGTGTTTAGATATTGTGCAAAAACCTAGAGATAAAAACGGTCTGAGAGCCCATGTGCAACAGACTGACCTTCTGGGACACAGCAGCTCTGTGAGGTCCAGCAGATTTCTCTCCGTACTTCCACGCTGCCTGGATCCAAACAGTTGCTGGGCTGCACTTGCAGAACATGAGTGGGATTAACTCATGGGCTCAGCTGATTTGGGAGAGAAAATGCTTCAGTGAGCATTTCTCAGTACCAGTCCACAACGAAAGTCCTCTGCCTTCTGTAGATCTTGACAAACCTTCTGCTTACCCATCTGCACCTCTGGAAGCTCATTCAATGCCTGTGTATTGAGGCCAGGCCCTTCACTGTTGGCCTGAGCCGTGGTCTCTCCTGGTTGTGCTCGTTCGCTCTCCCCTGCTGAGCTCCATGAGAACAGACAACACATCTCGTCCCTAGAGAAATGCATTTGCCCTCTCGCTGCCTGCGAGTCTTGAAGCCTGTGGTGAGATTGGAGAGTAGTTCCAGGTCCTGCTAAGAGAGGCCACTCCTTAATCCAAAATCTCCTGTTGCTCCAATTGCCTTTAATTACTTCCTCTTATTTGCTTCAGGGAGACAGGGGAGGGTAAAGCAGCAAGGACATGTCCAGTATTTTGAGTTACGCTTCGTTAAAATTTATGTGAAAGTTTCTAATTCCATGTGAAAGTTGATTGCACAGAGACTGATTTAGTGTATCTCTGATGCTTTCATTCATTACCCCTTTTCACAGTTACCCATGTAATTCCTGGCTGCAGTAATTAGGAAATAATGCATGACAAGCAGTGTGTTTCTGGGGGATTATTGCCCACCTGGGGGGCAGCTGAGAGCAGTGACCTCTTCTCTGATATTGAGAACTTGTTAAATGATGTTGAGGTTGCTTTATTAGTGGATTGAATTTTTTATTCCTCTGTCTGCAAGTTTCATCTATAACACAGAGTTCAGTGGTGCAGCATTAGTTCAAAACTCTCCTAAAAGCATATTATATTGATGCCCTTCAATGTAAAGGATCCTAAAGCACTTGCCAGCCTGTGAAATATTATCGGGTTGCCAACCCTGTGCCACAGGAGTAGCCACGCTGTGCCGTTTGGATGCGTCTGAGTGTTCCCACTCACACACATATCTGCTAGGGTGAGCAAATTTTAGTTACAACAGATAACCCCCAGAGCAGGTATGGGGACATTTCCTGGAAGAAGTCTTCGGCCCCTACTCTGGGGGGCCAGCCCAGTGCCAAGTGCTGGGAAGAATAGCTTTTCCCCTGTGGGATGCTACTGGGACCTGGTCATCCCTTCTGACGAGAGCTTGCAAGGTAGTAAATTCCAGTGAGGCACTGCTGATATGAAGTAACAAGATACCAGAGTGGAGCCCTTGGCTTCAGAGGGTTGTGAGCAGTGTTAACGTTTGATGACATAAAACCTTTGCAAGGTATTTCACAGTGCTTGCTTGGCAGGACTGGAGCCCACGTGTGAATCCCATGAAGTCCTAAAGTGCTTCATGCATTATTTCCAGATTTATTTCAACTCCCTGCCCTGCCCACCCACTCTGTGGTGCTGAAACTTTTCATAGCCCTGGTGTAGGCTGTGGTTTCCCAAAGCTCCTCGGACTGATAGGAAATAGTAGCCCTTCACTATTTATTTTTGTTATTACTGTGGTCTTCAGGAAACAAAGGGATGTGCTTGAACACTTTTCTTCCTTAGTTCCAGAACACAGCGTGATCATGACTACAATAAGCAAGCACTCGAATGTCAAGACTTTCACAGAAAAGCTGCTGCTGCTGCTGAACAGGGGAGGTGAGTTTGTGGCACTGGTACGTGCCTGGCAGGGATGCAGCTAATGGTGACTCTGGGAGATGAGCCCAGTGCTGCTTAAGGGGGGGGATGTGTCAAGGGTGCAGGTAGCCAAGGAGCTGTCGGCTCAGGCAGGA